GTAGAGACGGGGTTTCACCATGTTGACCAGGATGGTCTCGATCTCTTGACCTCGTGATCCACCCGCCTCGGCCTCCCAGAGTGCTGGGATTACAGGCATGAGCCACCATGCCCGGCCTAACCGATACTCTTTCTTTCTTACATTTAGATGTTACTGGGTTGTGATGGTTGTTTCTGTCTTCGACTTCTCCTGTGCTAATTCATGGCCTCAGCAGGTGCATCACAAATGCTAGAGGGAAAGTTGAAGAACACACAGGCTTTTTCAATCTTTCACATTTCAGGGAAACAAAAGTCACTCATTCTCTGAACATCGTTTTAAGTGACCTGGTTGTGAGATTTTTTGTTCTGTTTTGTTTTGCAATCTAGGCAGCTATTTTTTATTCAAAGAATTCCCTCCACCTAACCCACAGGATAAGGCTGGCCTCTGGGTAAACCTGTTTACTAGTTCTTAATGATGGTCTGCCTTCTAAGGCTGTATCAGATTTTTAACTAGCTCCTGTTCCCGTGTCCTTCTCCCTTGATCTTGTGGTCTCTGGCATTCGGAGTGTCTAACAGAACACTGTCTATGCTGCAGAGGGCGGTTGAACTCTTTGTCTGGGCTTTTTATTGAGAAAACAGAATTTGCCTGGAACAAAGGAAAACAGCAGGAGCTAGGGGCGGAAGAGGGGGGGCATCGAGTTGATGTCTGAGTAGAAGCCGTATTTGTATTCTGAGGACCACAAGGACATCGCTGGCAGATTGGATTCTCCAGCCCCGGGTTCTTTTGTGCGTAGGAGAGGAGGTGAAGTCATACATCCAAGCTGAGTTGGGGGAAGCTCAAATTCTAATCATTTAGAGCACTTTTCTCGACATGCACTTCGGTGATAGCATTAACTGAGCCTCCTCCAAGCTACAATTTAAGGACGAAAATGCCTATCAATGGACAATAATTTGATGCAGAAAGTTCAAATTATACTGTGTGGTGCACAGTAGTACGCACATTTTCATCACCTGCGATTTTTCTGCTTGTGAGTCCTTTCATCAGAGTGGGTAAACATAAATCTCTATGCTTTTAAATTGACAGTTAAGAAAACCTGTTAATATGCACTGCTTCATAGTCTTCCAGAAAGCTGAGTCTCTTTGAGGAAGTGCTGTGACTGTAGGTTAAGATTGATAAGGCAGGATGTGGTTCTGTTTTCAGGGGTCATTTGGAAGCAGTGTTCAGACGTAGTGTTACTTGAATGTGTTTAAGCCATTTCTGTGTTTTGGGATTTTATTAGTCTTCTCAGACTGCTATAAGTGTGTGCGCGCGCGTGCGCGCGTACACACACACACGCGCGCGCGGAGGTTGGGTGGCTTAGACCACAGATGTTTATTCTCTCACTGTTCTAAATGCTGGAAGTGTAGGATCAAGGTGTCAGCAGGGCTGTTTCTTGCGAGGCCTCTCTCCTTGGTTTACAGACGGCTTCTTCTCCCCATGTCCTCATGTGACCTGTCTTCTGTGCTCACACATCTCTGGTGTCTGTGTCCAAATTTCCTCTTTCTGTAAAGACACTCAGACTGGATTGGGGTCTTATGGATTGGAGCCCAGCCGTATGACCTCATTTGACCTTACTTACCTCTAAATACCCTAGCTCCAAATACCTTCACATTCTGGGGTGTCAGGGGTTTAATGTCAACTTTGGGGGACAATATCATATAACAAGAAACGTGATGTTACTTAGGGAAAAAGCCAGTGGTATGAATGAGTGGATCTAGAAAGTGCCTTGAGCAGTCACCCTCACCTTCCCCCAACACTGTAATAAATGCGTGTGATCTAATGGGAAGAAGTACAGGCTTCAGAGCCTGGTTCCAATCCAGCTTCACAGCCCTCAATGAGACGCTGAATGACCCCGAAGCAGTTTAGCAACTCAGAAGAGACGGTCACAGCAGCCATGCCTCGAGCCACCATGAGGAGAGACTGTGCACACACAGCCCAAAACACCGTGCCCCACTGGTGGGTGCCACTCGAGGCATGCCAACTGCACACCATCTTACCATTTGCCATGACTGCTGTTAGTAGCACCCACACTACATGCTCCTGACTGAGTGGGTTTCTGTGGCATCATCTGCTCTGGGGTTACTACTCCCTTTATATTGTAAAGTCCCAAAAGGAGCTTTTGGTCATCAACAAATACTTTTTTTCTTTTCTGTTCTTTTCTTTTTTTTTGAGACAGAGTCTTGCTCTGTTGCCCAGGCTGGAGTGTGGTGGCATGCTCTCAGTTCACTGCAACCTCCACCTCCTGGGTTCAAGCAAATCTCCTGCCTCAGCTTTCCGAGTAGCAGGGATTACGGGCGTGCACTACCACACCCAACTAATTTTTGTATTTTTAGTAGAGATGGGGTTTTACTGTGTTGGGAAGGCAGGTCTCAAACTCCTGACCTCAGATGATCTGCCAACCTTGGCCTCTCAGTGTAGCAGGATTATAGGCGTGAGCCACTGCTCCCAGCCAACAAATGCTTTTTATTGTAGTCCTTGTGAGCTTGTGCCGTCTTGCTGCCCTGGGCTTAGTTCAGGTCCCCACGTTTTTCTTTGTCATTTATTCTAAGCCCACATACAGTTGAGAAACTGCCATATATTGGCTTCCCTGATGCCCTCGTTCCAAGGTGACCTGAGAATTCCTCGCAGATTGGCAGCTGGGAGCCCCATTCCATCCAGCCTACTTCACCCCCTCTTCAGTCATTGAAAATCCTCTCCTCATTCTTTTTTAATGGAGGTGAAATTCCTATAATATCCATTTTAGTATGTCAGAAAATTAAAAACAGAATTATATGATCCAACAATTCCATTTGAAGGCATATTCCCAAAAGGACTGAAAGCAGAGACTCGGAGGGATATTTGCACACCCGTGTTCATAGCCACATTACTCACAATAGCTAAAAAGTGGAAGCCACCCAGGTGTCCATCCAAGGACAAATGGACAAACAATGTGGCGTACCCATGCAAAGGAGTAGTATTCAGCCATAAGAGGAAAGAAATTCTGACACAGGTGACACAAATGGACAATTCTACTTACGTGAGGTACCTAGGAGTCAAATGCATAGAAACAGAAAATGAATGGAGGTTGCCAGGGGTTCAGTGGAGGGGAGAATGGGTACAGAGTTTCTGTTTTGCAAAATGAAAAGAATTCTAGAAATGGGTGGTGACCTTGTACCACCATGTCAGTCTAGCCTATCCCCCTAAACAAGCCTGATCACTTGTCACTTCTCTTGAAAGCCATCACATCCATTCTGTCCTGAACGTTGGGAACCTCGCATTTGTTCTTGACACACTTCCCTTTCTCCTAGCAGTTGGTCACCAGTTTCTATGCTTTTTGCTCCCTCACTGTTCTTCAAACCTGTCCAGGGGTTCACTACCACCCTAGTTCAGTCTGCTGTCCTCTCCTCCAGGACTGCAGCCACAGCCTCCCCAGAGCCCCTGACGTCTGCTTCTCCCCACTCACATCTCTTTCCCACCACAGGATTTGTTTCACATGAGCATAAACCTGATGATGACCTCTTCTAGCCTTCTGCCTCTAGCTTCCTGCTATGGGTTGAACTATGCCTCCCAAAAGATATGCTCAAATCCTCACCCCTGGGACCTGGGAGTGTAACCCTTTTTGGGAATGGGTTGTTGCAGGTGTAATTAGGACGTCAGTTAAGTGAGGTCATACAGGAGGATGGTGGGCCCTTAATCCAGTGTCATTGGTGTCCTTGTAAGACAGGAGAAGAGACAGGGAGACAGACAAAGAGGAGAGATGGTCATGAAGACAGAGGCAGAGGAGGGAGCGAGGCATCTGCAAGCCAGAGATTGCGAGCCAGCTCCATGAGACAGGAGAGAGGCAGGGGCAGTCTCTCCCGCAGCCTGCAGTGGGACCAGCCCTGTGGACACCGCCTCGGCCTCCAGGACTGTGAGAGAAGTGTGTTGTGTTAAGCCCTACAGTTTGTTGTGCTTTGCTGCTGCAGCCCTGTGGCACTCACACACTTACAGACCCAGCCCAACCTCTTGGCTCTGAGGACAAGGGCTGATCCAAGCCTGCCCTGCCCAGGGTTCCCTGTGAGTGCAGCTGCTCCTCCCGGGCTCTCCAGCCTGCAGCCGTGCTCTCTGTACTTCAGCAACACCCTTGCTCAGACCCTGTGAAAGAATAATACCAGAGGCCAGGTGCGGTGGCTCACGCCTGCAATCCCAACACTTTGGGAGGCCAAGGTGGGCGGATCACCTGAGGTCGGGAGTTTGAGACCAGCCTGACCAACATGGAGAAACCCCCATCTCTACTAAAAATGCAAAATTAGTTGGGCATGGTGTACATGCCTGTAATCCCAGGTACTTGAGAGGCTGAGGCAGGAGAATCGTTTGAACCTGGGAGGTGAGGATTGCAGCGAGCCGAGATCACGCCATTGCACTCCAGCCTGGGCAACAAGAGTGAAACTCCATCTCAAAAAAAAGAATAATACCAGAGGCAGGGTGGCTTCAGCAGCAGACACTGACTTCTCACAGTGCCAGTGGCTGGAAAGCCCACAGTCAAGGTGCAGGCAGGTTGATTGTCTGGTGGGAGCTTGCCTCCTGGTTCACAGACGGTCGTATTCTCACTGTGTCCTCACATGGCGAAAATGGGACATGGGAGCTCTCCAGGGCCTCTTTGATGAGGGCATTGATCCATTCATGGGGCTCCACCCTCATGACCCAATCACCTCCCAAAGGCCATACTTCCCAACACCATCACATTAGGAGTGAGGATTTCAACATTTGAATTTTGGGAGTGCATTAACATTCTGTCTAGAACAGACACAGAGTAAAATGCTTGTGATGCTAGCTATAGAAGAAAGATGTCATACAAGAAAGGGCCACATTTGCTTAAATGGGTAGGGACAGAATCATGGTTTCTTCTCCTCGTGTTCATATGTGATTGGACTTTGTTATCTCCACTCTAGTGGACTGTGTTGGTAAGGAGGATTTGAGGTTTTGCTGATAAAAACAAGCCAGGTGTGGTGGTGTGTACCTGTAGTCCCAGCTACTTGGGAGACGGAAGCAGGAGAACCACTGAATCCCAGGAGTTCAAGGCTGCAGTATGCTCTAATTGCACCTGGGAATAGCTCTACTGCACTCCAGCCTGGGCAACATAGCAAGACCCCATCTCTAAAAATCAAAAGTAAAATTTTAAAAAGCCCAGCTTTGTAGTTTTCTGGTTTTCTCTGGTGAGGTCTTTAGTTATTTCCTTTCTGTTGTGCTTTAGAGATGTACCATGCCTGTCTCCCTTTCTTCTGATCCTCTTATAGGGTTGGAGATTAAAGCACAAGCAACCCCTAACCCCTGTAGGGTTTTAGCTAAAGTTCTGGTGGGTGCTTTTTTTCCTCATCCCTTTACCTTTTGTCTTCAGTTAGAAGATATGATGGGGTCCAGGCTCTGAACAGGAAGTCTGTCTGCTAATGACCCAAATGTTTTCTTTTTGCAGGTTCACTACAACATTGGCAAAAACCTGGCTGATAAAGGCAACCAGACAGCCGCCATCAGATATTACCGGGAAGCTGTAAGGTATGGCAAATATGTCTTACAGAGAAATTAGGTACACAGATCATTTTCACTTTCTAGTATGAAACGCCTGTTCCTTTAAGGACCCCAACTTTACAGTATCTTTGCCGATTCCTGAGAGTTTAGCAAAAACATACTAATGAGCATTTAATGGTCAGCTTGGTTTTTATTTTAACTTCCAGATTAAATCCCAAGTATGTTCATGCCATGAATAATCTTGGAAATATCTTAAAAGAAAGGAATGAACTACAGGAAGCTGAGGAGCTGCTGTCTTTGGCTGTTCAAATACAGTAAGCATTGCTTTTATAATGATGCTAGTAACAAAGGAAGGAGCTCCTGCAATAAGCCTTTCTTGTTTATCCTTGTTGAAACTGCTCCTCTAGGCCAGACTTTGCTGCTGCATGGATGAATCTAGGCATAGTGCAGAACAGCCTGAAACGGTTTGAAGCAGCTGAGCAAAGTTACCGGACGGCGATTAAACACAGAAGGAAATACCCAGATTGTTACTACAACCTCGGGCGTCTGGTAAGCTCGGGGCACCCTATGCCTGTGGAAGAGAGATGGGTTCTCTTTTTTATTTATGGTAAAATGACATAGTAGCATCCTCCTAGCCCAATCAGTTTTATAAAGTTCTTTCACATGTTTTCATCTCTTTTGAAGGTAGCTATTTGATTTGCTTGTGAGTAATTTTTTAAAGTTCTCATTAGAGAGAAGTACACCGTGAATTAGCCAAGTTTAAGAGGTCACCCAGGCAACAGGTTAAACCAAGGAATAAATTAAAATCTTAAAATCCCTTCCACCCTGTAAAACAGTGCTCCAATGGGTAACTTCCTGATAAACATCAGTCTCTGTTTTTAAAACAAGAATTTAATACAAACAGAGATTAAAGAAACAAATCCGTAGTATGACTTCGGAGCTCCCTTGTTCTCCTTCCTTAAGGGAGCAGTGCTCTTCATCTGCACCGAGCATTTCCCCCTAAAGAGACAGCTTTAGAGGGCACGGGATTTATTTGAAATTATTTGGATTATTTGAAAGGGCTTTGTCATTATTTGATGGAAATAGAAAATAATGTGTTCAATAGTAGCTTTATATTTTTTGGTTATTGACAGGATGTTTATGAAGATCTGATTGCTCTTGATTTTCTTGACTAAAATAAAATGAGACACACACACACACACAGCAAAATTCTTTAAACATGAATGGTTGTATTCTCCCTATAAATCAACCACTTAATTTGGTTTCAAGAAACCAAATATATATGTTCTTAATATATTTAGATGTATTCGATAAAAATTGTTAATTAAAAAAAATTTTGTTCATTTTAACCGAACTAGAATACATGCATAGCAATGTGACTTTAAAATAAGTTTATATTTAGATTTCTAGATTTTATTCAGATTAGCTTTACAGGTAGGAAAGCACCCTTATGTTCTAAAGAGATGCCTGCTTACCCTCATTTTAAAGGCCTGAAGCCTCTTGGTTTAAGGAGTTCTTATATTGTCAAAACTGGTAGTTCCCTTGGTTGCTTGTCACGAGGTGATGGCTTCAAGGTTACTTGATGGAGCTGGAGCACTTGGTTATGCAGGCCCTGAGGGCTGGCAGTCCAATGGCACGGCCGCGGTGCACGCCATGGCATCTGGAGGTGGTGTTTCTACTGATAACAGGCAGGTGACTGGCTCAGAGAGGGAGGTCATGATGGCTGCAAGGAAGGGACTGGACCCACACAATGTACTACTCCCAAAGGCAGCTTCAGGTACCAAGGAAGACCCTAACTTAGTCCCCTCAATCACCAAAAGAATAGTGGTATACTCATGAAGAGGACAACAGTGCCGTCATCTGGTTTGAGCTGCACAAAGGCAAGACCCAGCAGTGCCTGAGCTGTGGAACCCACTACAAGCTGGTGCCCCACCAGCTGGCACACTGAGCGCCGGCACACTGAGCGCCTGCACCAAGTTACTCAAAATGTGCTGTAAAGTTTCTTCTTTCCAAATAAGACTAGCCCTTTGCATTGGCTCCCTCTCTCTCTGCCAAAAACAAAAAAACAACAAAAAAACTAGTAGTTCCCAAAATTGATATGCATCTAGACTATTCCACCCCATCTGACATTTAGGGAATCAAAGGCTCTATAGAGAATCTGTGTTTTTAAAATAACAATAACAAACTGGGCACAGTGGCTCACATCTGTAATCCCATCACTTTGGGAGGCCAAGGCAGGCGGATCACTTGAGGTCAGGAGTTTGAGACCAGCCTGACCAACATGGTGAAACACCCGTGCTCTACTAAAAATACAAAAAATAGCCAGACATGGTGGTGCATGCCTGTAATCCCAGCCACTTGGGAGGCTGAGGCAGGAGAATCACTTGAACCTGGGAGGTGGAAGTTGCAGTGAGCCAAGATCATGGCACCACACTCCAGCCTGGGTGACAGAGCAAGACTCTGCAACAAAAAAATTAAGTAAAATAACAATAATGAATCACCCCAGTGATTCCGATACCCTGCAGGTCCTTGGCCCTGCACCTGGTAAGCAGCTCTGTCTGAACTTGGATGACAGAGTGATCATATCGGAGCAGAAGCCATGGTTTGTGGGGAGCAATCCTAAAAACACTGACTGCTTTAAATTTCTTGGAAAACCAGACTTTGGTTTTTACCATAATGTGAATGTCTTTGGTCTTATTGTCTTTGTTTCTAGACTGGGTAGCCATGATTTTATGAGCCTTGGAGATAGAATCTTATGAATGGAGAAAACAAGGTGGCAGGAATGTCTGGCTAACTGAGGATAAAATGTGACCTTTCCTCCTTGGGAGAAGTCCCTTTACGTGGACAAGTAATGCTTGTGTTATAGATATTAAAGTGAAGTGGTTGCATGTATTAGTTCGTTTTCACAATGCTGATAAAGATCTACCTGAGACTGGGTAATTTATAAAGAAAAAGAGGTTTAATGGACTCACAGTTCCATATGACTGGGGAGGCCTCACAATCATGGCGGAAGGTGAAAGGCACATCTTACATGGCAGCAGAGAATAAGAGGAGAGAATAAGAGCCAAGCAAAAGAGGTTTCCCCTTATAAAACCATCAGATCTCATGAGACATACTACCATGACAACAGTATGGGGGAACCACCCCAATGATTTAATTATCTCCCACTGGCTCCCTCCCACAGCATATGGGAATTATGGGAGGTATAATTCAAGATACGATTTGGGTGGGGACAGAGCCAAACCATATCATTGCATTTTTTTACTCAAAAAATGCAAAACATGTTTCAGTTATGATGTGCCATAGGAAGATACCATCTCTATGTGCTTACTCCAGTGTGGAAAAGGGGAATTATTTATTCCTGGCACAGAGGCAAGGGTGACAGGAATATGGCTGAATCCATGGAATCGCATGATGCTTGAATACGGAAGATTAATGGCAAGATGTTCCTTTGTCTCATATTAACTTTCTCCAGAACCACTGACCTTGTGTGCATTTCTGTTCTTTTACATTTTAAAATTCTATGCTTTATGACCTAGTTACCTGCTTTGATGTTGAAACCGCTTTCTCTGTACGACCTGAAGATTCCAGGGGAGCTGAAACTATGATAATGATGGGCTGTTTGTTCCTGGGGGGAGGGGAGGCTCTAAAACCTCAGCATAATGCTGTGAGTGGTGACTTGAAAATTCAATCACATATAAAGCAGGGGTGATCCTCACAAAGTCAGTGAAGTGAGAATAGGGGTTGGGTGGTGGATGGGATCACATGAGGTCTTAACCTGAACTCATGCATTTGGGTGGTTATGAATGTATGGGTGCAGGGATTACAGTTTCTGTTCACTGTATCTGTTAAACTAGTACTCAAGTGACTAAAGATGACACTTGATATTCATATGAATTCTACTTTCCTTCCTTTTTTTCTTTTTCTGGAGGTTGCTCTTCTTTTCCTTTATTGCTCACAAAGTGAGTGGGTCGCCTGCGGCCTCCCACGTTGTCCTTTAGGCTCTAAACAGTCTTCTTCCCTCTCCTAGTAGCTGCCTTTCACTGCAGTTCCTTGGGATTTGGAAAATAGAGGATTTATAATAAATGCTCCTTCTGTAAGAGTTATATCCAAAGGGAGGAGCATAGACTATAAAGTACCAGCTTTTATCATGTGCTGTAGTCCTTGGGATTCATTATACTTTCACTTGGAAGATCATCTATAGCATTGAACAGATTGAGACCTAGTACTGCTCTTTGTGTATATTGTTTACTAATTACGCTACCGTGAAATGGTCTTCCTGCATTTCCTTCAGCCAGCTGTTCCTGCCTATTTAAGGCTTTTGCTCTCCATTGTGGTTTAATTATCCAGCTTTTTCCTGCTTGACAGCTTAAAAGCATTAAGAGCTTAATCTTCAACAACTCAACCAACCCATTTATATATTGGCAAATAGGAACTTAATAACTTAAGAGGTTTTTTTGTTTGTTTTAAGAAATCACTCTCTGGTAACAGGAGACAGAGATTTGTTTTGATTTCTAGACCCCAATATGGAGAGAATATAAGGCAGCTCTGTTGTGGAATAGGAAATCAGGAAGAGCGGGATTACTGGGACATAGTGCTGATCTTACGAAGTTACAGTAGTAGTGACTGGAGGGATTACTTGAAGACAATTCATGTTGGAAGGACTGGATGTATCCAGGAAAACAGAAACCATTCTAAGTGTTTTAGATAGAGAAGATTTAATGTAGGGAATTGGTTACACTGTCATTGGAAGGCTGGATGAGCAAAAATGTGATGGTAACATGAACTCTGAGATTAAAGGGAATCCTGTGAGTTTAGGGGAACTGACAGGAGGGCGTCAGTTTAAGAACTCATACGAGGTTACAATCTCTGGACCTACCACAACCTCAAGAGCTGTGATCATGGGTGACAGACCACTGCTCCCACCCTGCTTGCTGATGCCACCCTGGGACGGTAGAGGAGGGGACATAATCTCTTCAGAAACACTGCCAGGGGAAGGAAGGAGACAGTGAGAGTGGGAGGAAAGGACTGCTCCCCTCTCCCCACCATCCAGTGCCTATTGACAGAAAGGAACCAAGTGGCAAAGAAGCCCAGGAAATGTAGTTGCAGACTCCCAGCCTCTGCTTGTCAGAGCAGAGTACAGAAGGGTGGGCATAGGACTACTGGGTGACTGATGTTACCCATCTACTTCCCAGATGAGCAGTTCTGGTTAAATTATCACGTTTCTCTGCATCCCTGAAAGTTTGTTCCCTTTGTGTAGATGCTATAAGGTGAGTAGAGTTTAAGACAAAATAAAACTAAATTTTATCTGATTTCATCTATTCTTCAATACATAGTAATAATAGTTGTAGTAATAACAGTAAAATAGTGAAGATTTTGTCATGTTTGGTAAATGAAGTTATATTGATTGTTCTGGGTATGTTCAAATGTCACCGTGGATTTTGTCCAAGTGACTCAAATGCATATCACTTGGTGGAGTGAATTAACCTGAGGAATTGCTGGAACATCAAGTAGAGATAATTGTTAGAATAATTAAGCATCCCAAATTATTTTAATTTTCTGAACTTTTCCTATCATTTCCTCATTAAAGGGGTAAAAATATTGTAACTTGAGTTTCTGAGTCTCATGGGAAATTCTGACATTTTTAGCAAATGATTCATTAATGCTTTCTTTTTCTTGCATAATATGCTACCAATTTGCTGTGCAGCGTAGGACAAGTCAAAATGTTTTTGTTGTCTACAGAAAAGACAGACTTGGCAGTAAGTAAGGAAACAGCCTTAAGCTCTGAAAAATTATAATCATGTGTACTTTTTGCAGAGTTAAAGGGATCAAGTACACTCAAATAAAATGTGCATTTGAACTGAGATAAGAGGGCAACAGGGTCACCTGCTGAAAAAATCCACCTCTCTCTCTGTGTGTGCTTTTATTAACTATGCAAATTGAGAGCTAGCCATTTTGTATTCTGTTACCAATGTTAACATTCCCTCTCAAAAGAAACAACAAATCTGGAAGCATTCCCGTTGAGAACTGGAACCAGGCAAGGATGCCCACTCTCACCACTCTTATTCAACATGGTACTGGAAGTCCTAGCCAGAGCAATCAGGCAAGAAAAAGAAACAAAAGATATATAAATAGGAAAAGAAGAAATCAAACTACCTCTCTTCATAGACAATGTGATTCTACACCTAGAAAACCCTGCAGACTTTACCAGAAGGCTCCTAGACCTCATAAACAACTTCAGTAAAGTTTCAGGATACAAAGTCAGTGTACAAAAATAAGAAACATATCTATACACCAATAACATTCAAGCTGAGAGCCAAATCAAGAATGCAATCCCATTTACAATAGCCATGAAAAGAAAAATACCTGGGAATTCAGCTAATCAAGGAGGTGAAGGATCTCTGCAAGTAGAACTACAAAACACTGCTGAAAGAAGTCAGAGACGACACAAACAAGTGGAAGAACATTTCATGACCATGAATTGGAAATCAGTATTGTTCAAATGGCTATACTGACCAAAGCAATCTATAGATTCAACACTCTTTCTATAACTACCAACGTCATTTTTCACAGAATTAGAAAAAAATATTCTTAAATTGATATTGAACCAAAAAAGAACCTGAATAGCCAAAGCAATCCTAAACATAAAGAAGAAAGCCAGAGACATCATATTACCTGACTTTATTTTAAGGCTACATTAACCAAAACAGTATCGTACTGTTGCAAAAACAGACACAAAGATGAGTGTAGCAGAATAGAGAACCCAGAAATCAAGCCACACACCTATAGCCATGTGGTCTTCAACTAAATTTTTTTTAAAGCAATGGGTAAAGGGCTTCCTAGTCAATAAATAGTGCTGGGATAGCTGGCCAGCCATACACAAAAGAGTGAAAAATTAACTCAAGATAGATTAAAAATTTAAATGTAAGACCTCAAACTACAAGAATCCTAGAAGAAGCTGAGTACAGTGGCTCACAACTGTAAACCTAACACTTTGGGAATGGCTTGAGCCCAGGAGTTTGAAACCAGCCTGGGCAACACGGCAAAACCTCATCTCTACAAAAAAAAAAAAAAAATAGCTGGG